TGTGTGTGTGTGTGTGTGTGTGTGTGTGTGTGTGTGTGTGTGTGTCTCATTCAGATTGCTCAAGAAAACCACAATGAGTATATTTGATTTTGTGTTTAAGGTGCCTTATAGAAGACATGATGAATAATGTATAGGTTGATTGTTTGCCAAGTCAGCTGACAAAAGAACCGAGTTTCTTTTAGAGTTTAACTCTGATTTATGCTAGAATGAAAAGGCTAGTGTACCTTTGCTTTATTTTAATTGCTGACCTAGTTAAGGCTAATGGAGTAGAAAAAAGAGAAGAAAATTTGCTTCTCTGGAAGATAGTATGTGTGAGAACTGTTAAAGTGTTAAGATTTTGTATGTGTCTCACAGAAGCCTGAAAGAAACACATTTTATCCCTAATTCTTAAGACCAAAGTGATCCATTTATATTGCCCAACATATGAACCACGTTCAGTATTCTAATTTTTTGTATGTTTTTTTATTTTTGTGTATTTCACACACATCTTAATCATCTTTATACTCCCTTCCCCATAGACACCCTCCCATAACCCTCCCACTGGATTTCATGCATTCTGTCATTTATGTTAAGCCCTATCAAGTCAAGTTAGCGTTCCCAGAGTTCCCTCAGTGCAAGTGCATCCATACTTTATTCATAAGTATGTATGCAATTTGTCAACCTCATTTTTCTGTACTTGTTTTGGTAAGGAAGTATACAACAAAATAGAAAGGAAAAATTAATTAAATTTAGTGTGTTTATCTTAAATACTCTAAAGATATTAAGGAGATAATAATCAAAATTTAAATTTGTTTCATGTTGAGCACAAACCTTAACTCCATTGATTTGCATAGAAACGTGGTGTGGCAGGATTCAGGGGATATTTCTCCTGTTTTAAAGATGAGGAATTTTGGATTCCCATTTTCCTACTTCACAAATATAAAGTGACAGCCAGGGTCTTCTGGGGAATTTTCTCTTCGTTGTCCATGTTGATCTAAGGAAGTAATAATTAAGACTAAATAGTTTTAATGTGATAAAAACATCTACCTTTGGTTAAGTGAAACAGTTCTGTCATCAGTGCATGTCTACATATGTGTTATAATTGAATGCAAATACCTTTTACTAGTTTTTAAGTCTTCTACGCTTTACCTTTTGAGTCGATTTAAAAATACGTTTATTAGGACAAGGTCTCATTAGGTGAGGCTGACTGAAAGTTGCTATGTAGTGCACATTGGTCTCTTAATTCATTCTCCTGCCTCTACCTCTCAATTGGTAACATTAAAGAAATAAATGTACTTCACACTCAATCCATATTTTTTCAATGATAAAGCAACTCAGTATCGACTAAAAATAAAGTAGGAAGGCGGGAATTAAAAATTTGTTTACTGTTAAGAAATTTAGTTCAGTCCCTTTTTAATAAAGCTTCTCAGGTAGAAAAAGTTTAAAATTATGTAGATTTTTAGATATTTCTTTTAACAACTCTTTTTAAAATTAATTTTATGATTTTAAACAACTCATCTAAGATGGTTGTTAGTTTACTTAAAAACACAAGAAAAGTCCAGATTTTCCCTTACTCTCAATGTCTTCAGCCAAAGGAACATTTAAGCTATTTGCTTTCTATGAATTTTAATACTCTTGTTTTTCGTTTTGTTGTTTTGTTTTGTTTTTTAATTTTTAGACACCTTTGGAGCTTAAGGACACCATGGAGCTCAGCAGAGTATTTCACCGGAGAATATGATGGCTGAAAACAATTTAAAAATGCTGAAGATTCAGCAGTGTGTAGTAGCCAACAAACTACCTAGAAATAGGCCATATATTTGCAATATTTGCTTCAAGCACTTTGAAACACCATCAAAATTAGCTAGGCATTATCTCATTCATACTGGTCAAAAGCCATTTGAATGTGATGTGTGTCATAAAAACTTTAGACAACTAGTTCATCTGGAGAGGCATCAGTTAACTCACAATCTGCCTTTTAAATGCAGCATTTGCCAACGTCATTTTAAAAATCTGAAGACATTTGTGAAGCACCAACAGCTTCACAATGAAACCTATCAGAATGACGTTAAGCAGATCAGAAGATTGCTTGAGACAAAGCAGGAAAAGCCTGTGTATGGGGTGTATAATACTTTTACTACAGAGGAGAGATGGGCATTGCACCCATGCTCTAAGTCAGATCCCACGTACGGCACTGCAAAGAGAAGAAAGAATATTCATGCGTGTACAATCTGTGGCAAGATGTTTCCGTCACAATCAAAGCTTGATAGGCATGCACTTATTCATACGGGGCAGAGGCCTTTTAAATGTGTCCTATGCAGTAAATCTTTCCGACAGTCAACTCATTTAAAAATCCACCAACTCACACATTCAGAAGAAAGACCCTTTCAATGTTGTTTTTGTCAAAAAGGATTTAAGATTCAGAGCAAACTTCTGAAGCATAAACAAATCCATATGAGGAATAAGACTTTTCAGAATCTTTCATTAAAGGTAAAGAGTCCAGAATCATGCCCCCTGCCTAATAAATTAAATGCAAAGCAGGATGGTTTTGAAATTGGTGAGATAAGTGAATCAGAGAAGAATAATCCACTTGATGTCCACTCTATTTATATTGTCCCATTTCAGTGTTCAGAGTGTGAAGAATGTTTTGAATCAGAGCAGATTCTCAATGGACACAAGTGTCTTCCTGCCAGAAGTGGCAGGATTCCAAGCAGACTCAAAAGAAGCTATAACTATAAGACCACTGTTAAGAAGATCTTGGCTAAACTTAAACGTGCTGGGGGTAAAAAATTAGACAACTTTCAATCAGAGAAAACATTTAAAAGCAACTACTTGAAAAATTGTGATGGTATTGCTAGTGAGCAGAACACTGAACGAACTCAGAGAACATGTGTGGGTTCGCTTGGCAAACATGGATCGTATAAGACAGTTGGCATCAAAAAGAAGAAAGCAGTGTCTTTGCCGTTTTCTTGGCAGAAGCAATTCCAGAGCCAAAATGTGGGCAAAACTTTGCAAGATATCCTTACAACGGAAAGTATACTGACTATGGATGGTTCTGGAAATAATAAAGACTTGTCAATCTATGGTTCATCAGATGAGGAATTCTTGAATAAGTGTGACATGCTTCAATATGGTTTTGCAGATTCAAGTGAAAACATGCACACTGGACATAAAATGTGCCCCTGTGATAAATGTGAGAAAGTATTTCCTTCAGTCTCCAAGCTACAAAGACATTATTTAATTCATACTGGACAGAGGCCTTTTGGTTGTAATGTTTGTGGAAAATCTTTTAGACAGTCAGCTCACTTAAAAAGACATAAACTAACTCATATTGAAAAGATTCCCTATAGTTCTTTTTGGCAAGTAGAGTTTGGAAACGTGAACAAACTTTTCATTCATCCAAGTGATAATGTTAGCTATAATGCTTCCCAACAGTGTCAAGCACTTGCTTTCCAGAAATATGAGGGTTCAGAGTCTGATCAGATACCAGAAATGGAAGTTAACGCAGAATCAGAAGATTTCATTCTTGGTACCCACTGTAGGAACAGGCCAACTTACCTCTCTAATGCACTTTTGGAATCAGAGCAGAGTCATCACTGTTACAGTTACTTAGGGCGACCTGAAAGAAATGATGGGCTCCTTTACCAATGTAGTGTTTGTTGTAAAAATTTCCGATCTCCATCCAAACTAGAAAGACACTATCTAATTCATGCAGGGCAGAAACCATTTGAATGCTCTGTCTGTGGCAAAACATTCAGACAGGCTCCTCACTGGAAGAGACATCAGCTTACTCACTTTAAGGAACGACCACAAGAGAAAGTGGTTGTCGTAGACTGAGTTATATAGCACAAAACCACTAACACAATTATGATCTCTGGTGATCTAATTCCCCTTAAAACATTTTTGGCAAAGGCTTATATTAGGTAGAGTGGTTTTGAAGGCAGTTGCTGGTCTTGCATAGGAAGAAATGAGACACATAAAAAAAAAATTACAGTGCTTTAGGGTAGCCAAGTTACTGTGGGGAAAAGAACATGGTTTGATGCCATGATGCAGGCGTCTAATATAAACATACATTGGTTATACTAAAACTTACAAACTATCATGTTCACATGCTTTGACCTCATTCTTTGAATTGCTTGTTGAGATATTCTATCTCATTCCATCTACCCCTCCCCCAAATGAGGCAAAAATTGCCATTCAGCTGAAGCAAACAGCCCTGTATCTTATTTTACATGAAAGCACATTTTATCCCCCTGTGGTTCAAGTTTTATTGCAAAACATTTTTCTGGTAAACTAAAAGATATAAAGATAATAGATATGAAAGTATGTGGGGAAATTACAGAACTCTCACTTTTTCAAAGCTGTTTCTTTAGACTGGTAATTTTACTTACCCCCCAACCCCATCTCCAGGCTGCTATCATCTTCCTCTAAAAGTAGGGAAAAGGGCAAGTTACACCTATTTACATTTAACCCAAATATTTTCCAAGTGCCATAATCTTACTGATATTCCATTTATCTTTTTAGGGGAATAAATGCAATTCACCTATTTAGTAGTTAATGATTGGCAGCAGTGGTCATGGATAAGAATATTTTCATAGGATTTAACTAAAATTTTGTTTGAAAGCCTCTCTGGGTGGTTGTATGACTTAACTAAGCCTATTCTAAATTTCATTAAATGACAATAGCATTTTTGGTTTTGCCCCCTCTAGGTTTACAGTAATGTAGTGTTACTTTGATCTTTGTTGATATTTCAGTTAGTAAGGTCGTCATCCCTATATAGGAATGAAGTGCATACAGAGTTCGAGGTACCATTTTGCTAAACAGAATTGTGATTTGGAAACTGTCATCTAACCCTAAACTATGAGAGAAGTGTTTCAGTCATAGATTGTTATTCACATTTGTGAGACTTTTAAAAATCTTTGACAACATTTTCTAGCAATAAAAAGGTTAACTGTTCTAAGGTAAAAAGTAGAACAGGTGGGTATTTAGCACACAGCAAAAAGCCTTCCATTGAGAATATGGGTGAATGAATAATGATTATAAATTTTGATCATGTTCTAAGAATTGTATTTTATGATGGAGGGAGAGGTTGGGAGGGAAAGACTTTGATCTGTTTTTACTCCCAAGTGAATTTTAAGTAACATGGGTTTAATTGCAGAGACAAAATAATGATAGTGTGAGTAAAGTACCCAAATGGAGTGCAGATGTGCCCCTTTTAAGTAAGACATTCAGCTAAAGTAGAGTAGATCCACCTGTTTTAAGGCATAGTTTTTCCTGTTTCTTTGAGAGTTGAGCTGTTCCTCCAGTATAAGCAAGATGTGGTTTACAGGATCTGCTCTGCACAGAACTCTTCAAGGATGCAGCAGTTGCATAAAAGCAAAACATCAGCAGTTCATGTTTCCCAAGAATAAAAGCTCAAGTTATTTAATATGTCTGAAATTATGGATTTTGGCATTTCCTTAAGCTATTTATATAATTTTATTTGAAGGGAAATAATTGATATACTCCTTTCCCACCTTAAACAGGGAGAGTTCTGAATGTTGTGCTTGTATGACGACTATGAGACTATTTGTCTGAGTGATAAGATGCTTTTTTTTTTTTTTTTTGGCCATGCCTTTTTAAGCTGTTTCATATTGAAAGTTGGAATAATGTAAAAATTTTGTCAGAGATGTACTGTAGTGCTATTTGAAGTACCTGTAACAAAATACTTATTTACCTTTATTATCATTGCAAGCTTCTGATGGAAATTTTATAGGAGTGACAATAAAGTATAAATCCATGTAAAGATAAATATGTTAAATGATGGTTTTCAGCATGTTAGAACTGTAGGTACTGTTGAATCAATTACTTTGGTTTCTGGAAAAGAAAATAAACTTTATAAATATCTTCAAAGAGAACTACAACTTTTGTTGGTTTGGGTGAGTCCAGGCTGTAGCATGATTATTTACTAAGGAGTTTGATTAACCACATTAGTACTATTACTGTTTCATGTCTGATACTGCAACAGGATTTATCATTTTAATGTACATCTATGTTGATGGAAAGTAGATGACACATAAAATTCCTGAAAAACAAGTTTCAGAGTTTCAAGTTACACAGTTTGTACTTTTTATTTTTAAAGGAAAAATCATATATTGGAACAAGGTACCAAGTTTCAAATCCTTTCTACACTGAATTTAGGTGAATATGTTCTTTATTTTTAAATTTTTGTTTATATTTTTAATTATGTGCATGAGTGTTTAGTGCATGTGAGTAGAGGTGCCCATGAGGCCAGAAGAGGGTGCCAGGGTACCCTGGAGTTGGCATTACAGGCAGATGTGAGCCCAAAGTGGGTGCTGGAAACTGAGCTTAGGTCCTCTTAGAGAGCAAGTATGTGGTCTTAACTGCTGAGTCATCACTCCAGCCCATGTACTTCATTTTTAACATTTTGTGATAGCTCCTTATTGTTTGAAAAAAAATGTTACTCTTGCATGCATGGCATATGATCTACCTACTTACTTTTTTATCTACCTTTCTGTGACTGCCATCAGATTTGTACTAAAGAAATTTAGAATTGCCTTTTCCAATATGTTACTATAATTTCTGCTTTTTCCAATATATTACTATTATTCTGCCTCTGACTTTTCTACCTAGCGTTAAATTAGACACTGTTCAAAGAAGCAGCTGACTCAGGTTTTATTCCTTTTTAATTCATTCCCAATTTCGGGAGGAAAGGTTTGACTTGCAGAAAAATATCGATTTCAATATACATTATTTAAAACAATCCATTAGTTAAAGTTCTTTTAGGACAGATCAATGGTCTTTGAAGTCTAGATATCCTACAAGAGTCTGTTAGAAGTATTTGCAGGGATTGTTTCATAATGCAGAATGGCGCCTGCTTTTTAGAAGCTGCAGGGAAAGAACAGTTAATCCCCATCTTGTGATTTCTCAGAAGAGCTTAGGATTTTAGGACTAAATGGAATTTTATTAGCACCAAGAAAAACAAACGTAGTTGGAAAGAAAAGTGGTGCAATGGTATCAAGTGGGATGCGCGACGTGTAGTATCTTGCGTCTGCACTGGCAAGCCTCTGCTGGCTCTTACAGCTCAGCTTAGGCATTTTCTCTGGTAGCCTTTTTGGTACACTCAGGTACTCCAGTCTCTGCTTCCACTAATTTTGGTTCATAACTCTTAAATTAGCTTTCTGTTACAATTTTTTAAATAGTTCTTGAAACAATCACCTTTAAAAGAGGACAGTTTACTATGGCTCATAGTCTTGGAGGCTTCATTCAGTTCCTGGTCAGTTGGCTGCTTGTCTCTATCCCTATGAGAAGCATATGATGGAGCAAGCTGCTCGCCCTGTGGCAGTTGAGAAGAGAGGAAGCACGTCCATGTCCCACAATCCTTTCAAGAACATAACGTTAAACCTCACACTGGGCCCCAGTAGTGACTTGTCATGGTTCGTAGTTGCTAGTGGTCTTCAAACTTTGATGAGCATCGGGCTTCTTAGAAGCCCTGATGATTTCTCATTCATTAGATTTGGGCTCAAGAATTTGTGTTTACACAGGGTAGCTATTTACTGCTGTTTGAGAGTTTTAGAAACATGGAGATGAACTCTTTGCTTCTGTAAAGCAAAATAGAATGCATCATTTTATGTTTCAGACAGAAGTGTCTGGAAAATGGATTCAAATGCAGATTGATGATATGAAGAAAGGAATTAGTGAATAAATTATTACAAACCTTTAATATTCTCTGAATTTTTTATTTTTACTGAAAGCATCTATAAAATACAAATGTAACATAAGTATGAAACAGCACAGACATTCCTGAAACAAGTCAAAAAATTGTTTCAAAGATAAAAATGTCTTCATGTATTTATGTATTTATATATAGTGATATAAATTCTCTAAGAGTATGCATATGGATGGAAAAAAGAAAGATGACCTGTGGAATTCATCTTGGAAACTAGTGGTGGAAGTGGAAGAATGGGCCAGGAGGGCGATGGGGGCATAAGGCCCTTTTTGTAGTCTGAGCCGCTTCTTGAGCAGCAAACAGTTTGGTAGTCTTTGGATAGAACAGAGCGCGTTCAGGGACAAGTGGAGCAGGATGGAGGCTGTTGCCCTGCCCACCTCAATACAAAGATCCCAGCTTATAGGAGGCAGTTTGGGTTGGTGGTGTGGGAGCCTGTGAGGGAGCCTGCAGGCAGCCTCAAAGGAAATGGTATTTAATCTTAATAGATCAAGAGGTCTATTCTTTCTAAGTCTGTAATCTCATTTAGATGCTTTCATTTACTTTCAGAAGATGTTTGCCTTTTATGTTGAAATTAAAGCCAAGCCAACATCCACTAAACTCCTTTCACTAATGCCATTTTTTCTTTTTCTTTTTTGGTCTTTTCTGAGACAGGGTCTCCCTGTAGCCCCAGCTGGCCTGGAACTCACTATGTAGACCGGTCTGGACTTGAACTCACAGAGATCTGCCTGCTTCTGCCTCCTGAGTGCTGGAACTAAAGACATGCACCATCACGCCCAGCTTAATGCCTCTTATCCTTTTTTTTTTTTTTTTTTATGTATATGCGTGTATTTGCCTGCGTGTAGGAAAGTGCACCCGTGTCGTGCAGTGCCCACGGAGGTCAGAAGCGGCTGTCAGATCCCCTGGGACTGGAGTTAGGGATGGTTGTTAGCTGCCATGTGGGTGCTGGGATTTGAACCTGGGTCTTCTGCAAGAACAGTCAGTGTTCTTAACTGCTGAGCCATCTCTCCAGCCCATGCCTCTATCTTTTAAAAAAAATTATGATAGTTTTACCTGCATGTATGGCAGTACACCTGTGTCAGTGCGTGGCCATGGAGACTATAAGAGGGCATCTGACCCCTTGGAACTGGAGTTATGGACAGTTGTTAACCATCATGTGGGTGCTGGGAACTGAAGCCGGGTCCTCTGCAAGAGCAGCAAGTGGTCTTAACCTCTGAGCCAACTCTGGCCCCAAATGCTTCTATTTTTACCTCTTACCTTTTATCATCTTTCTCTGAATGTTCCTCTACCTTTTTGCCTTGCCCCCTTCCGGGAACTTCAGTTGTCCCTTCTTTTTTTTCTAGTATCTACCTTTCCATTAATTCTTTAACCTCTACATAAAAAATAAAACTCCATGTGTTCCCTGTTAGGATGCTTTTGGCTGCAAGTAACCAGATACTGACTCAAACTGCTTTAACAATAAAAAACCCTAATTGGATTACATAGAAGTGCACTGACAGATGACTTTAGGGCTGTCAAATCATGAATGCATTTCTTCTTTCTACCTGCTCTGCCTTTCACAGTCATGGGCCATTTTCTGTGTGGTTTTAGGATGCTTTGTAATCAGTATCTCAGTTTCTTTCATGGTAGGGAGAAAAGCAGGATGAGTGAGGGATCCTGACAACAGCAAAGAACAACTTTCTCGGAATCTAGCGAAGCTTCACCTTTATCTGCTAGAATTGCTTCTTAGGTACATTCATGAACCAACCAGTGATGGGAGATGGAATTACCTTCATCTAGAGATGGAATTGTACTTCCTATTAAGAACATGGAGATCATATGGAAACCGATGAGATTTGATTTATTTGAAGAAAGGAATGAAAAACAATATTGTCCCTGTGTGTGGCTTAAGAACATTTTTTGAGGACTGGGAAGATGGCTTAGTGGATAAAAGCATTTGCTGATCAAAAAGGAACACCTGAGTGTGAATCCCCACCATCCCCACAAAAGCTGGGCCTTGGTGACATGTACCTGTAACTCCAGTGTTGAGGGTTGGGGTGGAGATGGAGACAGGTGGAGATGGGTGGATCCCGAGGACTCACAGCGAGCTCCAAATTCAATGGGACGCTTTCTCCAAAAACTAAGGTGGAGAATGATAGAGGAAAGTGCCTGATGTTGATCTCTGGCTTCCACATGTGCATGTGTGTGCATGTCACCTACCCCTGGGCATATACCCACACACAAAACAAAAAGTTATGAAGAATCAAAAAATGTTTCATTATTCTGGTTACCGTCATACATTTTACTGTATGGTCAGAATGTTGAAATTGATATTATACCTACTGCCTCCATTGCCTCTTCATTCACTAACATCTTAGTCTTCTATTGCCTGCTATTCCCCCACCCCACCCCTCCCTTAGTAGCTGCTCTCTCAATAGCTATGGCAGTGGTCACTGTGAGTTGTAATGACATGTGCTTTGTGCTTTTCACTGTGATCTGGGCTAAACTGATTCTGGTTGCAACTCAGCAGTGAGGTATGATCTTTCCAAACCTGTTAGAATATTCCTATCTCTCCTGCCTCAAACTGCTCAGGGATAGGAAACCCAGGTTTGAACCAGACAAATTGGCTCAGGGATAAATGCTGACCTAAGGCGATGATTAGAGTGAATCTTTGTACTCATTTCAGTATTGAAGAAGGAAAAGTGATGCCCAGAAACATCTCCACTTAAGTGCCATAACCATATGCTAGTCAGCTCATACAGTGAAAAGAGTCCAAGCCAAAAGAACTAAAGAGAACTGGGACCAGAACCTGATCAACTAAGTACTTCAAGTCTAACTTGTCAGTAGCACCTTTTATTTATACCTGTAGATAGCCTTGTCTTAAAATTTTTTATTTTTATATGTATGTGTGTATTTTCTACATGTATGTAAGTGCATCTGTGTCCTGTGTCGATGCAAAGGTATAACTCTCACCTCAAAGGGGATAAGAGATAGGTAGTTTATTCTGGAGCCAAATATGAGATTCAGGTTACCCAAATTCCATGCTCCAACGTGGTGACAGTTTTATGAAATTTTTATAGTAACAGGACAAAGACAAGACATAAGTCAAGACACTTTTCAAATACATTGGTGGAAACATTAAGTAGGCAGATACAGTAAAAGAGAACTCTTAGCTACAGGCCACAGATGATATCTGATGATAATCTTTTGGTTGGTGGAAACTGATGGCCTCCTAAGTTACTACATTCCAAAAGGTTTTTATCTGTTACTCACAGGGTGATGTTAGGTCAGAAACAAAGGTGGGCAAGGAAATGGCTATTTAGGGACTAAAGCTAGCAAAATGCCCAAGGAGGTCAGAAGAAGGGAGGGCTTTGGATCCCCTGGTCTTGGTTGTTAGTCGCCATGTGAGTGCTGGGAATCACACCTGGGTCCTTGTAAGAGCATTCAGTGTTCTTTACTGCTGAGCCATCTCTCCAGCTCCATCTATGTCTTTTTAAGCCAATTTTAATTCAGTTTTATTTTTTCTTACAACAACAAAATATCCCAACTAGTAATGATAACCAATGGTCTCCTAATTGCCCAATTCATGATCTTTTTGAAGTTCTTGGCCTTTTAAATTTCACTGAAGTGTTTTAACATTCACGACAACCTTGTCTCTGAAGCCCTTGTTTCTTGACTCCTTAGGTCCTTTGCTTTTTTTATTTACAAAATATAGAAAACTTGTAAAGAAAAAATATTTAAGACATATTATATTTTAGAACAATAATTATATGTCACAGACAAATGAGTCAATAAGATAGAGAGGTGGAAATGGCTTTTATTATTGGACATAATCTGGACTAATGACTTTTAATTAACTCAGCAAAACAGTGTGGTCTTGTGTCTTGTGGTCTTGGGACCTGATCTCATTTCCTAGGCAACCTCAATTTGATACTCCACCCAAAAAGATAGTGAATGAATGAATGAATGAATGAGTGAGTGAATGAATGTGGGTATGCTTGAGAATTAACATATCAAAGTGCCAAAAGGAAGTGCCCCATCTCTTTTAGATACAGTAAGGTTGGGAAGGATGTATTACCTAGAATGAATGAGATATTCTAGAACTAGGATTGAAAAAGCTGGATGGTCTGTTAAGATTAAAGTAGAGTCAAGCTTGTTCTTCCCCAGTTGAAGCTGGAGAAACCATTTTTTGTTAAATTATAGGTGGGGCCAGACATAGTTCTGGGGACAAAGTTCAGCTGACAGTTCCATCAGCGCAGTTCTAGGAGACAAATGGCTTCGATTATCCTCCAAGTTCAGGTCCACTCTTAAAAACTAAATTTAAGAGTCAGTCTTTTATTTGTTCATGTAATTATAATGCTGGTACAGTAAACACCACAGAGAGGGAGGCAAGAAGAGGTTATGATACTACATTTTGTTATAGACCTGCTGGATACTGAAAATTACAACCATTCACATAGATCTCTAGAAAGCAACACACCCAATCTGGAGCTTGTTGGTCTACTACCCTCTTCGCCACCCAAATCACGAGATAAACTATGAATTTAATGAACAGCTAAATTGGAAAATAAAAAGTTACAACCTGGATTTCTTCCTGCTACTTTAAATTGTCTCTTTGTAATGGAATCATCTTTCCTTTTCAAACTTCCTCTATTCTTCAACACTTAGAGTGAATTTATCCCCCCAGTGTCTTCCACACATGTTCCTTTCATTATATTGTTCTACTTCAACCTAAGATTTGCAGCAATTCTGTACCTGACAATCCCACCCCTGGGTTGTTACCTACTCCAACCTACCTAACATACTTCTGAAAATATGTCTTCCAAAAATAATTTCAACCTATGGTTCCACATCGTCTTCTGCAATAGACAGTCTTTCCCATAGGTTTGAATACTCAACACTTCAAGCCTCATTGCTCATTCCTCATGTTTTTCCAGCATCAACTGCTTCCGAGGTTTTATTCTGTAACTATAGTGAGGTATAGAAACAGGAATTGCAGCTTATCA